TCTCTCTCTCTCTCTCTCTCTCTCTCTCTCTCTCCTTCTTCTTCTTCTTCTTCCTTCTCTGCACTGTTCACCGTCGTTGCTCTACTTTTCTGTCCTCTCCTTTGTCCACGTCCGAGATCTACCCTGAATATTACTGCAGCGTGTCTCTCTCATCATCAGGCGGTAATGGCCGCCAAGTCTGCTTCTTCCCCCTCCTGGCTATGGCCGTCTCCTTCAGCCAGGGCGCAGGGCGTCTTCTCCTTTTCAGCGCACTTCTTCGTCCAGGTAGCTAGTTCACACAGATCCAACAGCGCTCCACACTCCCTGCCGTCTGGTACTGTTGCCCAAAATATATTGTTTTCATGGACTGGGCCGGCCTGCTTCCATCGGTACTGGTCTTCTTTTGCCTCTGCCCTGCCAAGTTGCTATTTTGGGTTTAGGGTTCTCACCTTTCTGTGAGGCTGCTGCGAAAACTGGACCTTTGGGGACTGGCATGATCCTACAGGTACTGTTCCTACAGACCTACGATGCCTAGATGTACAAACCCTAATCCCGCCATTTGAAAGCCGCAACTTTGGCGATTTTTCGTGCTCAGAATAATTCTTCAAAAATTCTGAAAAGTCGAGGGTCCCCAGATTAGGTCGTGATCTTTCAAGGAAAAATATCAGAAAAAAATAAGTAAATCATTTTGACTGTGAAATAATCGCCGCGCCGATTCTGCGCATTTCCAATTTTTGATGCAAATTCCAGTTTTGCCCTTCACCCAGTTTTCCACTCTCTGCTACCGGTACCCCTTGTGAAACGGCGCTACCGGTCCCCCAAGGTTTTTGACGTCAGGGGGAGTGGTGGCTTAAGAGTTCCTTGCTGTTGCAGGCTCTGATGGAGGAAGCACCCAAGGCTCCAGCGCCTCCGCCCCAGCAGCTGATGGAGTGAGTGAGTTAAACGACCAGTTTGGTGAACCCTGATTTGTCGAACCTTAAAATTTTCAGCTTGCCTAACCTCAATGATCTGATGGGAGGGCCAGCACCTCTCTCTGTGTTAAAACCGTTTCCGGTATTGACTTATTCAACTTATTCGGTTGTTTCATTGAAGCACCTGCCGCCACCAACCCGTACCTTTCTATGGCCTCCTTATAGTGTGTGGCAACTGATTCTCCCTTGGCTGGGCATCGCAGTGGTGGTCTAAAAGCACCACTACCTCTACCTCCAGGTAAATCAGGCCAACCTCTACGAGGAGTCAAAAGGCAGAACTGTGGCCGTCTGGTCAGCAATCCCAACGGACAAACTGAAAAAGGGAAGACCTCCAAGTAGTCAAGGGAGTCCTGAAAGGTAACGGTGGTTTGTTCCATGGCCAGGGCAGAGAGAGAGAGAGAGAGAGAGAGAGAGAGAGAGAGAGAGAGAGAGAGAGAGAGAGAGAGAGAGAGAGAGAGAGAGAGAGAGAGAGAGGTGGGAGAGAAAGAAACAGAGAGAAAAGCAAGAGATCGGACAGGGGAAAGTGGACTCGTACTTTGACTGGCTAGCACATTGACCACGTGGATGGCTGAGATGTCCGGCTTTGAGGACCTGGCTGAAT